GGTCTTGATATCGTTAAGCCACTTATTGCTTGTAGCTAGATTCTCATATCGTTTGATAATTGTTGTGTATGTTTTGTGTTTTGATGGAGTTATGCCCAGAATTGTTGCTGCTTGCTCGTTTAACGGCATTTTATTTGTAAAGTTGTCTGTTTCTATTCGTGATTGCCTGGATATCCGGGATGTATTTTCTACATTTATGTTACTTGCTCCTAAAAATCAAGTGATGAAATTGTACTTATTAGGTTAGCATATTTGGCTGGTATAATAGGACGTAAGTATCTAGCTAGTGGATTTTGCGCTCTAGGTTATCTGTCCACATAACCAGCCGTTTCTGTGTCCATAATGGTGTAAAAGTAAGCATTGCTATTAAACATGTTAGTAACTTGCGCATTTGTATACCATGCTTGGAGATATCTATTGCTTCAGACCAATTAAATGCAGTAAAATACAAATCATATGTCGCTCCTCCACCTAGGTTTGATGTATCCGTATATAAGTTTTTTGTATCTGGTTGCAACCAAACTCTGTCTTCCATGAAATATACACCGGACCAACTAGGAAGAGTGTTTAACCACCAGTTTATGTCTGCTTTCATTGGGCTAGTTATTTTTATATGGAATTTTGATCTATTAGAACCTCCTAACATCTTGATAAAGCGCTGGACAAATGGTCTACCTTGGGGGATAACCTGGCATAGCCACATTAATGATCCTACTAGTGACTGTAATTCTTTTCTGTAACACCATTTTTTATTCTGCCACTCCATAAGCATTTCCATAATTTTTGACTTTTTTGCTTCTGGAATAGATGCAGAAAATGTGCTAGTATTAATGTGAATACCTAAGAAGGTAAGTGCAGTACATGGTCCTTCTAGTTTAGATTGTTTGTATGGGATGTTCAGTATCTTTAATACGCGAAGAGATTGATCCAATTCTTGTTGTGCACCATTTTTGGATATGATTAAAAAATCATCCACATAATGTATTATTGAGCTTATTTCTTGCTTAACGGCAATCCATGTGATAGCATCTGCAAAGCGGCAAAATATGCCTCCAGATGCCCTATTACCAAATGCAAGAGCTTTGTCGAAATATACTTTATCTTCATATTGCAACCCTTGCAATACCTGATCGGCTGGATGCACTGGTAAGATACGATATGCATCTTGTATATCAATCTTTGATAACCAGCAGCCCCGACCATACTGTGTTATCCATCCAATAGCATGATTTAAGTTTTCATATTTTGTAGCAAATTCAATTCGATCAATACCATTATTTATACTTATACCAAAAGGTGCTGACAGATGAGATATAACTCGATATACTTTAGGGTTGGTATTTTTCTTTTCTACTAAACCACATGGATTTATTTGAAATGTGGAGCATGGCATATTATCTATAGTGAAGGGACCACACATTCGTCCTATTGCTTTTTTACTATTTATATAATTTATTAATACTAATGGTTCGATTTTTATAGATTTTAAGTTTTCTTGTATCATAGTAGTACGTTTTCCTGAAAAGTTAAATCTGAAACCATTTGTAAGACCATTCTGTAAGTATTGTATAAATAAGCGATTGGGATGGTCTTGTGTTAAGTATTCGAATGACAATTTGTTGATAGGAGTTGTAACATTAAATTGCGCTGGATCAAGCTGAGCTACTAAAGCTTTTTCTTCTTGCGATAATAGAATATTTCTTGGTGGACGTGCTTCAATTGTTTGATTTACAGATTGAAGTACTGGCTTCGTAAGTGCTGTGATTGCTCTGGCTGCTTTAAACTGTGAGTTATACTTAACTTTCGGTCCTTTATTACCATTTGATTCTGCTATAATATGAATTATTAATATTGTGATTAGTTAATTATTTTTTTTTTTTTTTTGTGCTGTTATATTCTTTGTTGCATAACAAGTGTTATTTGGTTATTGGTATATATTTGCTATTATGTTTTTTTTTTTTTTAATTATTACTACATTGTTCACTTCTTGCTACTCCTATATTGAGAAAATACCTGCGATCCAAGGCTTTAGTAATCAAAAAGCTATAGAGACAGAACAGATCCGGCTATGGTGGGTAATGAATTGGTCGGAAAGGCAAAAAAGGATAGACATGCTCTCCAAAAAACCAAATTTACCTAACAAATTGTGGAAAGCAATAGCACTTGGCTCATTCGTGGATTTGCAAGAATTTGTATACAAGAATCTCATTAATAATATAAAGCAAATGAATGAAGATACTTTTTTGCAGACATCAGAAGGTGGAATTCTGACAATCAAGAAGCGAAAACATAATACAGCATTCAAAAACATATCAGAATGGTTAATAGTATTCAAGGCCTATATGGATGCAACTTTGATACTGTATGAAAACCGTGAGCAAGAACTGAATACATACCGGGATCACATAAATGAATTATGTACCAAATATAAATTTTCTGCTATAATGGAATATGATGAGGACAGAAGAGTAGCACTGGTAATAAATCGCGATTCAACACTAATAGAGAGGGACATTGAAGCAGAAGGTAAAAATTTTGATGTGACAACGATTAAAAGAATGAGAGAGGAGTGGCGATACAACAATTGGACTAATACCGTATAGCATGATGGTAAAGAAATATGTCTTAATTGGAACAGAAAATATGCACAGAAGATAAAAACTGCAAAAGGGTTCATGCTTGCATTGTTTGTAGAAAACTGGACCACAATGAAAAGAATTGTTTTCGTAAAAATCCGGGACTTAGAAATAGCAGCACGTCAAATATAGGAGTAGCAAGAAGTGAACAATGTAGTAATAATTAAAAAAAAAAAAAACATAATAGCAAATATATACCAAT